ATGTTAGAACATATAAATGTAAGAACTGTTTGAGTGTCTAGATTGCAGAATGGTTTATGAACTTGTCCATAATGCACTCAAACATTTCTGAAGGTAATATATTTTAAGGCAAGCTCCTTAGAAATGAAAGCTTTTTGAATGAAAGGTATTCAACTCCTTAAATGTAAACTGGTATCCCGTTCTATCTCAAAGAGAAAGTCCCTGTATATTATTAGACTCCAAAATTGGAACATATTTTGATGTTCGCAAATTCAATACAGGTGGCATTGTTTTGACTTTTCTATTAGAAAGCCAAATTTAAAGACTATGATCAGTTAAGTGCAGAACCAAACGTCCCTGAAGGCAAGAACTAAAACTTGATTCATTTTTAAATCCCTATATCACCAAAAATAAATAACAAATTCCCTATATGTCTTTATATAAATAGAGATAAATACGGGGTTTCCCAGAAAAACATATACAAACTTTAACAGCTGATAGCTCAATTTTAAAGATGAAATGTATTTTAATAAACTCTGCCTTTATAATTATTCAAAGTATATCCATATTGTGTATCCATATTTTGGGACACCCTATATATCGTTAACATAGTGGATACTAAAAATATCCACAGAAAGCTCAAAGGGAAGGCAGGGGTGAGTGGTGTGGGTGGGAGGTGATCAACCAAAGAACTTGTATGCATATATGCATAACCTAAGGACACAGAACAATAATGTGGTGAAGGTCTGGGGCAGGTTAGAAGGGGTCAATGGGAGAGAACATCTGTAATGCTTTCATCAATAAAGAGAAATTAAAAATATATCAACAGGAAGAATGAAGTAGAGTAGAAAGTTAACAGAAAGGATGATGGTGAGACTGGGGAGACAGCAAGGAGGAGCCAACTCATGACGTCTCTTCACCTCTGCCAAGAGGCGTGGATCCATCCTGGAGCTGGTGTTTAATGAGGGCAACACACAATCAGGCCCCTCATTCTAGTGCTTCCTGTCACCTCAGGAACTTGCTCCATTCGTTGCTTCAAGTGAGTCTCCTCCAGCTTCTATAAACCGCCTCTACGTTCTTCTGCCACTCCCTTAGTCACTTTTCTGGAACAATAGGTTTATACCTAACGCTCATTTTCTCACTTCTTGTCCACTTTTCAGTTCACTGCAATTAGATTTCTGCCCCACTATTCCATGGAAACTGTTCTAGCAAAAGCCACCAGTCACTCTCTGTTTTCAAATCTAGGAGGCCCTGCTAACTTGGTGACTTCCTTCTGAAACTTCGCTCTCTTGCCTTTTGTGATACCTCTCTATTCTCAACCTGTTTTTCTATTCCTTCTCAAGGGCTTTCACTGTTTCTTCTCTGACTGCCCCTAAAAGTAAACATTCCCCATAATTCAATTCCAAGTCCTCTTCTCATCCATGCCCTCTCTCCCTCTCCCTCTCCCTCCCCCTCTTCTTTTCCCTCTCCCTATCCCTCTTCTTCTCCCAATCCCTCTCTTTCTCCCTCTCCCTCCCTCTTTCCTTCTCTATCTCCCTCTCTAGGTTGATCTTATTTATTTTTGAAATGTTAGTTATAACATATATCAATGTCAACGCAAGATGAAAGCTCAAGTTTCAACAGTAGGTTTACAGTTGTTGGTGTGGAAAATTATAATAATTAATGAATAATAACACAAGAATGCACTCTGTGCTTCACGTACTCGCAACTGTGAACCTACTTCTGCCCTGCTCTGTATCATAGAGTATTTCCTATGCTCTGCGCTCTGAGCTGTGACTATCCCAGAAAACGAGACGCGTCTCCTGCCTTTGGGCCTGTTGGGCTAGTGGGGGAGGCAGGACCACTGCGATGAGGGTTACACAGGGCTGTTACGAGGGCTACCCAGAGGAGCAGCAGCAAACTCCTCCCTGGGAGTCTGTGAAGTCTTGGGAAAGGCGGTGGGGTCCAGAGTAAGCCGTTAAGCCTGCCAAGGAGGAAAGCAGCACCTGAGGGCTGAGAGGGAAAGAGCATTCCAACCGAAGAGCACAGCCTGAGCAAAGGTGAAACAGTGAGAAGCAGCCTGGCGAGCCAGCAAAGAAAGCAACACTGCTTATGGTCTCTGAAACCATGTGTGTGTGTGTGCAGGGTTTGGAGTGAGATGAGGCTGGAAAGGGAGGCAGAGGCAAGGCCTCAGAGGGTCTCCAAGGAACAGTAATTTTAAAGAGCTTTGACTTTATCCAATCATGTAAATGGTGAGTATGTGTGTAAACGATGGAAACTGGAAAGGAAGCAGTCAGATCTGCCTCTTAGCGAGAGGATCAGTGTGCTCACAGGGTGGGAGACAGCCTGAGGGGTGAGGAAAGCCTGGAGGAGGGCCAGGAGAGAGGCGGCTAGGTTCACGTGTTCATTCCCAGCTTCTTTGGCACCTTGGAGATCATGAACATGAGCCTATTGTTTCTGGGAGTCCCGATTTTTCTGTCTCACAGACACATGGCCTTAAATATGAACATGGTGCATGTTTGTGTAGTTGTTGGATTGTTTCCACTTCCTGAAGACTCCAGCGTTGGACATATATCTACCGGGTTAGTAAGAGCATTAAATAAGTAGAATAACATTTCTTGCCAATGTTTAACATAGTTTGCTTTTTTCCGTGTTTAATCCTAAATGAGCACACAGGCATATATTTTGGCAACACCTCTGTGTATGGGCATTCCAACAGAGCAGGCCCAAAGCTATGCAAACAACAGTAAAATAGGCTTCTTATACTCACCGTGAGTTTTGAGCAGTCAGAGACATTCAGCTCTTGCAAATTTTTACAGAGGCCTAAATTAAACAAGTGACATATCACTAAACAACATAGTACAAATGTTTAAACTTAAAGTTTTTCCATCCTGCATTCAATGCGATGTATTCATCAGAACACAAAGACCTTGGCAAGTCTTACTATAAGTACTGGCTTCTTTTCCCAGAAAAACGGTTTCTTTTGGCTTTAAAATTAAAATATATACACATGTTTATTATTGTTTGAGGATTACAGACGGAAGCAGAAAAGAGAAAAATACTACTTTGTGGAAAACAGCATGTATTTAGAGCTTTTGGCTTCAAAGCACTGAAGCAAACCAACCTGCTTTTTTTGTGGCACAGCTTTTTGTTCATTTGTTGTTGTTTTCTGTTTCCTTTTAACATTTTATTATGAAAATTTACAAGCATACAAAAAAATTGAGAGAACTGGAGAATTACACAGTAAGTATACCCACCACCTAGATACTACAATTTACATCTTACTGCATTTGCTTTACCACTTATCCACTTGTACGCCCATCTCTCTATCCCTCAAACCATTGTAGGTTTTATGCATTATCATGTAAGTTACTCTAGACATCAGCACACTTTCCTCCAAATACTCCAGCGTGCATAGCATAAATAATTCGGCAAGTATAATAATTAACAAAACATTTATGATTTCTTTAGGTTAGATTGGCATACAGTTCACAATGAATTACAGTTAGAGAAGTGGAGGGCTAGAAAGGCCCAGTGCCTGATTAGCCCTGGGACCAGAGGCAACTATGCAACTTTTGTAAGGAAGACAAGACGCGCACACAGAGCCAGATAGGAAAGTGACGCACAGTCGACACTCTGGGTTTAGAATGACAGGAAATAAAACACCAAATCTGAGACAAAGGAGAAGCAGTGAGGAGCAGGAACACAAACAGTACCCAGGAGGAATGCTTGAGGCAAAGAAGGGGGAGGCATTCTAGGTGGAGGAGGCCCGTCCAGGAGGAAAACTCCAGGCTAGGGAGTGATCCTGGCATTCACACGGCCAATGAATAGAAAACACATCTGCCATTCATAACCACATAGCCCCACGGTAATAACAACAGAAATGTTATTAATTATAAATCCATTTTGAGCATTTCCTCATCTGCCAAGAATGGACTATGTCCTAAGTAATAAATGCAAACCAAAACCACTTTCAGGATTAAAAAAAAAAAAATGGAAACAATTTTTTCACATGTGCAGATCTTGGAAGTCATCAATAATACTTGCTGGCTAAGGAAAAAAATAGATTGCCTCCCAAATATAATAACTAAGTTTATGAGATTAAGATTTTTATAGGATAGTTACTTTGAGAGTAATTCGTGCATTCAACAAGTTTTTGCCAATAATCTGCTTTATGCTAGAAACTCTACAGGTGCCAGAAATACAACAGTGAACAAAAGAGACAAAAATCTCTGCCCTCCTGAAGTTTACATCCTTGTTTGGGGGTCAGGGGTCGGACGGTTATAAACAAAAGAAATATCTGTTTTGAAAGATGGTGATACGTGCTCTGGAGGAAAATAAAACAAGAAAGAGGTGGGGAGCAGCCAGGAATGGGAAGGGGTGTGACTTCCAATACAGCAGAGCCGTGCTCGCTGAGAAGGGACCTTGAGCCAGGAGATGCTGAGTACAGTTGAGTTTCCACCGAGCATTCCTGGAGTCCGCATGCAACATGACTGGTGATTGGGAGACAGTAAATGAAAGAAAAGAGTGAGCTCAGGAAGACAGCCATTGAGTCCTTTTTTTTTTCTTTTTTTTTTTTCTCTCACATCTCTAGACTGCAAGGGGGAAACCCTTTAATTCTTGAATCCAATGTGCTGATAAACTACAGGTTTTGGTTTTCACAGTGCTAAGCCTAACTCTGGGGAGGGCTTCCCGGGGACCAGGCCCTGTGAAGTGTGTCACACACAGGAGCCGTTTCTTCCTCTCAGCAATACAAGAGGTATCTTCTGCCCCATTTTACAGAGGCAGAAGACGAGGTGGATGTACTTAGCCTCAGGTTGCACAGATTAGCAACTAGGAGAGCCTTGATTCACACTCAAGGCTCCACCATGTAGCCACTACACAAGGCCATTGGAGGGTGCAGAGCCTTATACACTGCTGCTTTGCATATGTCTTGATTCTCTGAAATGACTTGCTTAAAAAAAAAAAAAAAAGCTGCAATTATCTGTCAATAACGGTGCTTACAATGTCCTAAACTAATTTTTTTCCCCCCTGCAACCTAGGGACTCGACCATACCTCAGTGGGACCTCACTGTTCTTGATCTGCATTAGTTAAGATTACCCAAACTTGGATTTCAACGGAATCCTTTCATTGCTGCATCTGTCATACCCAGTAATTGGGGCCAGCTGGATGTCAGGATGCGCGTGGTTACCGTCATAATAACCCTGCTTTTCTTCTGTAACGCGGCTGAGCTCCGCAAGGCGAGCCCTGGGGGTGTGAGAAACCGGGCGAGTCCTGGCCGGGTGGGTGGGGGCCGGAGAGGCTCGAACCCGGTCAAACGCTACGCACCGGACCTGCCCTGCGAAGTGTACACGTACCTTCACGAGAAATACTTAGATTGTCAGGAGAGAAAGCTGGTGTACGTGCTGCCCGGCTGGCCTCACGACCTGCTGCACATGCTGTTAGCGAGAAACAAGGTCCGCATACTGAAGAACAGCATGTTCTCCAAGTTTAGAAAGCTGAAGAGCTTGGACCTGCAGCAGAACGAGATCTCCAAGATTGAGAGCGAGGCTTTCTTCGGTTTAAACAGACTCACCACCCTCCTCCTGCAGCACAACCAGATCAAAGTCCTGACGGAAGAAGCGTTCATTTACACGCCTCTCCTGAGCTACCTGCGCCTCTACGACAACCCCTGGCACTGCACCTGCGACCTAGAGACGCTGGTTGCAATGCTGCAGATCCCAAAGAACCGAAATCTGGGCAACTACGCCAAGTGCGAAAGCCCACAAGAACTGAGAAACAAAAAGCTGCGGCAGATAAAATTGGAAGAGCTGTGCAATGAAGAAGAAAAGGAACAACTGGGCCCGAAACCCCAAGTGTCAGGGAGACCCCCGGTCGTCAAGCCTGAGGTGGACTCCTCTCTTTGCCACATTTACGTGTTTCCCATACAAACACTGGACTGCAAACGAAAAGGTTTGTAAGTTTCTTTTTCTTTACATTAACTTCAGAAAGAGGAAGGAGGGAAGGAGGGAGGGAGGGAGGGAGGGAGAGAGAGAGAGAGAGAGAGAGAGAGAGAGAGAGAGAGAGAGAGAAACATCAATTGGTTGCTTCCCAAACACACCCCCACTGGGGGTTGAACCTGCAGCCTGGGTATGTGTCCTGATGGGGAATCAGAACCTGCCACCTTTTTGGTTCGTGGGATGAAGCTCCAACCAGTGGGGCCAACGCCGGTCAGTGTGTCAAGTTTCTTGCTTTCTCTTTTTCACAGGCAATTTATAGTGTTCTTTGAATCTTACAACTCATTCCTACAGGAAGCTGTGCCTTGGAATTTCTGGTATAACTTCCCCCAGAAATCTTTCTCCAATGACAGTGCTGGAGCCCACACTCAAGATGGTTGGTGCCTTAGGGGGCAGTGCAGGAGGGTGGGAGGGACAGCAATTTGGGTCCTGCTTTGTTGCGAGCTGTGGCTGGAAGGAATTCTTTTCATCTTAAATCTAATGTCATTTTTTTTTTTTTGTATTTTATTGATTTTTTACAGAGAGGAAGGGAGAGAGATAGAGAGTTAGAAATATCCATGAGAGAGAGTCATTGATCAGCTGTCTCTTGCACACCCACCGGGGATGTGCCCGCAACCAAGGTACATGCCCTTGACCCGAATCGAACCCGGGACCCTTCAGTCCCCAAGCTGACGCTCTATCCATTGAGCCAAACTGGTTTTGGCAAATCTAATGTCATTTAATTGATGTAGGAAAGCCAGTGGGCATGAAAGCAAGTGCAAAATGCTGTTTACATAACCCAACGTACCCCAAGTGCAGTCAGAACATGGTGGTGTGCGTTTTGGGGGAATGGTGACCTCCAAGAGGACATTGTGCAGAGCAGGGCTGGTGAGGGCGCTGTCAGAGGGAGGCCAAGGGGGAAGTGGCGATGGTGTAACTCACAGTTGAGTCTTCATGTTTTAATGAGCACTGCCTGACATGCTGTGTCTTGATTGTCCCAAGTTACCCAAAATAAAACACGCAAAAACATGGCGGGGGAAAAACTAAGTTAAAAGTATGTAATCAAAGAACTATGAGACAAAGGGAATCTTTCCAGAATATTACCTGCTTCCTAAAAATCATTCCTGGTGTGTGTTTTTTTTATCCCACGCAATCTTAGGTTATTCCTGTTCAGGGTTTGCACACTAAGGATAAATTCATGAAGTAAAACAGAAGGCAGGTTTTAGTAATGCTGCTGACAGGTTAGCGAAGACGTTCTCGGAGTGTGGTCTCGGAACCGCTAATCTTACCCGAGGCTAACAAGCCACAGGACAGTGTCTGTTTCATTTATCCATATGGGTTAATAACTTATTTATAATCATGAAAGCTACATGTCATTGAATTAGGGTCTTGTGGGGCATGGTGTTATTCCACTTGCTTGGAGGGAGGTTTTGTTTCCTTAAGAACAAAAGGGAAGACACAGAACATAGACACTCTGGCTCCTCTTAGGGAACCATAGGCGGGAATTTGTTGACATTGAAGAAACAGGCAACCTGAGCCAGCAGGAAATGTGTTCATTTGTTAGCGAGGTCAAGCTCAAGCCTTGCCCCACTCTGTTGGACTCTGGAAGGTGGCACCTGGTTGGGTCACATCACAGCCATGTGGCTTGGAGAGGTTTGCTTACTGTGATTCCCTGTGAATTGTATACGATTTGATGCTTCAGCAGAGCAATTACAGCATCGTCACCTGGGAGAAGCCATTCTGGGGTCCCCTGAATTTAAGAGAGTGCTCATTAATTGAGAGCCTGCTATGTTCCAGGTGCTCCGCACTCAGTCCTGTGCACAGTTGACTTTCCGTTTACAGTTGAGGAAATGAGCTTCAGGGAGGTCAAGTCACTTGGCCGAGCGAGGTCTCATAGGTAAACAGCAGAGCCAAAATTTGAACCTTGGCCTATATGACCCTGCTGTCTTCTAACATTAATCTAACTACATTCAGGCAAGCAGCTGTCCTAACAATGGAATCATTAGAGAATTCCAGAAAGTCTGTATATGTAGTGCCTCTGTGGCCAGATTGGGTGGAATTTCCCAAATATTGTTATGGTGAGTAGTGCTTCATTCTGAGGAGTGCATTTTACTAGGGTTTCCTTTGTAGTGCTTAAAAACTTGAACTATATATTTAAAAACTAGCCAGGTGAGTGTGGCTTAGTGGTTGAGCATTGACATATGAACCAGGTCACCAATTCCCGGTTAGGGCACATGCCAAGTTGCAGGCTTGATCCTCAGTGGGGGGCGTGCAGGAAGTAGCCAATCAATGATTCTCTCTCATCATTGATATTTCTGTCTTTCTCTGAAATCAATAAAATCAATAAAAATATTTTTAATTAAAACTAATTCAAAGCTACTAATCCTAGACTTGGGTTAGAAAAATTTCTTGATATTGCTGAGATTCTATCTTCAAGATAAAGTTAATTTGCACTTGGTGCACCAATGGTAAAGAATAAGTAGGTACAATTAAGTTTATTAATTATCTGAGAAAAAAATGCCAGCAACACAAAGTTAAAGACTTCTGTAGCTAGACTACACTGTCATTTAAGAAGAGATAATTTGTTAGGAAATTTGTTTTTTTACTGCTTTTCTATTCTTGGGCCTTTCCCTCTCCCATGAGCCTATTTCTGCCTTGTCTTTTTCCCATGATATTTTTGTCTTTCTCTTGGCAAAAATAAACTTATAAAAATGCACATATATATTTATTGCTTTACTTCCTCCACTTATTGTCTAAATACAACCTTCCATATATGCTCATAAATGCATTCCCCCTGCTTTAAAAATACAAGTACTGTTTACTGGGAAATTATATAAATAAAATTTAATGGCATAAACAGCATATATAGCATAGGGCACTGCACTAAAGACAACTCACGTTCCTCCACATGTTAAAAAATACATAACCCAGAGGATATACTTTTTAGATTTAAAATGTAGATAAAATGATGAGTAGTCTTGTCTTTTAATATAATCAATATGAATCTATTGATTATTTTTAATTTTTTGGTATATTGTTGATGTCTGTATGTCTATTAAATGCCCTTTGATGCTGCCTGGCCCGGGGCATGTGCTTCAGATGGATGATAATAACTAAGCTGCTTTCTTTGAGCGTGGAAAGCAGTACTTTAAGTAACCTTTACACATCAAAATACATAGGAGTTAAAAATCATGTCTAGACTTCAAGTATGACCATCTGAATATAATTCACTGTAATTTTCCGTATCCCGTTCTATAAATAGGTAATAAATGTCAAATGCTAGGAATAATTGTCCTGCGATGTTCATCTCGAGCTCCCTGCCAGGATGTGGTAATAGTTTTGATTGCTCCACATGTCAGACTTTATGCAGGCTCTACAGAAGCCTGAAACATGCCATCAAGAGTGAAGCTGGCATTAATAATGAGTCAGAGCTGTCACCTCAGTGCTTGGTGTGTGCCTAAGTCAGCAGCTTCATGCATTACTTCATGTACTGCTCACAACTTTAAAGGAAATACTATTACCCTCATTTTTTAAATGAGGAAACTGAGGTTGGAGAAGTTATGTTGTCTTCCTAAGGCCACACAGGCAGTCTCCAAACAGATTCCACGCCAGGGAGCGCTATGCAATGTTGTTTCTCCCTTCAATATTCTGGGTATTTCTGTTAACCTATGAAAATTTATGAGGATTTGAACGCTCCTTCTCAGGCTCTATACAGTGTACCATGCACATGGTACCACACAAGGACCCGAATCTAGATCCCCTAGCTCAGGAGTTGTGCCTCTCCCAACTGACAGATGATGAGTCAGATGGTATGTGTAGGGTACCGTAGTATGTGCTAGTTTGACCACAGTATGACCACATAGACCTCAAAAATAACTATTTTTGTCTTAAACATCTGACAGTAAGAAAAATAAATAATAGCTTTATTCACTGGAAGACAGGCACTTTGCCAACAAAACTTAGTCTTTCAAAGGGAATAAATGTAAGATTAGTTGAAAGGCATGTTTATGCCATATTGAGGTAAATTGACCTGCCAAAAATACATGAAAGTAGCAGTTTTAAAACTGCCTTTTATCTTCACATTTACCAGGATAATTTACCAGTTTTAATGATTCATTTTACCTCTAAGATTAGGACTGGAGAGAATTATGCCCATCAGTTGTTCCCAGTAGCCTCTGAAGTTAATTTCACCACTGGCTTGAATGATAATTAAGATTTTTTTTTATTTGCAATAAACAGGCCCATTTATGTCTCTCTTCTCACTACTACTAAGCCTTCAGAGTAGTTCTGGCATTGCTGGCAACCAAAATAGACTATTAAATGGGAAATTACATGGAGAAAACTTTCCAGTTTCCTCCTCAAAATCAGCAAGACTTGGTTGGGGAAGAGGCAAGGCTAGTCAGGGGTGATAATCAAGTAAATATGGTTTTTGTTGAGGGTTTACAAAGGATTTCAGATGGCAGCAATTAACCATGTGATGTCTGGTCTAGAAATGAAATGCTGGCCAAATTTGACCTCTGGCCTGGGAAATTTGTGTTTAATCTTTATCAAAACAAACATGCTTTACATCAATATTTTCAATTCTCATTCAAGATTAAAGTAAACGAACTAAAGAACTTTATATTTATCAATACAATAAAATTTTTCTATGATTTTCCAAGCCATACTAGTAAACGCTTTGGTTTGCAATTCCTGGTATTACTTGTGGATCCTCTTTTTACTCAGGGCTGCTGCTAACAAAGGAACATGTTTCTGCAATTCCTGTTCCTTTTTCAGCATCCACAGGTCTGCCACGTTGCTTAAGCTGGGATTTCAGGGTGTTCTCATCAACATTTTTCCCCACCCATTTATTTGTGGTTAACCCTTGTCCTCCAGTGGTTTCAGATCCAGCCCAGCATATGTGGGTTCAGTAAGCAAGTCTAGATACAAGTCCAGAACCTAGGAGGTGCTGACTCTGGTGACAAGGAAGACCTACCGCCTTCAATGGCTTTATAGTGCCTTGGTGAGGACTTGGGCTTTTATTCAGGGAGATGGAAAGCCACTGCAGGATTCTGCCACCTGGAGGGTGGGAAGTCCTCTGGTAAAATAACAAAACTGACATAATCTGACTTACAAGATTTTAACAGGATCACATAGGCTTAGGATACTGTTGGGATAACCCAGAGAGGTGAAGGTGCTATGGGCCAATATGGTAGCAATGGAAGAAGTGAGAAGAAGTGGGATTCCAGATTTTAAACTAAAGCTCTATTCTGTTTTTAAAACCCTTCTTAGAAGATGTGATAGCCATTCTCAATAGCTATTCCAAGTGCTAAATGCCAAGAAATTTTTTTTTTCATTCATTGGGGTGACATTGGTCAACGAGAACATATATGTTTCAGGTGTGGATTTCTATGTTACAAGATCTGTATATTACACCGTGATGGGCACATGGTGCAAGAAAAAATTTCTAATGTCTGTTCTCAATTGTCTCTGTGGTTTCCAATTATCACCAGGATCTCCATCTCCTTGTTTACATGTAGTGCCCAAGAGAGACCATTGCTCTCTAGTGGGTTACCCCACTGTTGCACCATTATAATAAGTTTAACTCTTAAAATCTTTCATCTTTTAGTATGTTGACAGATACAGCTCTAGGTCAAATGGAACCCTGTCTTATTGGAGACAGAAATAAGATCACTCCAAATTTTCAAAGTACTTTTATTACAAGAGGCCTCAGTATATAACCTGAATCTCATTAAATATAACAAGCATTAATGAGCTCCTATTACTTACCAAGGGCTAGTTATCTATTGCTGCCTAACTATCCCAAAACTTCCAGGCTTAAAACAACACACTTTATTATCTCACAGTTTGTGTGGGCTGGGAAACCAGACATGGTTCAGCTATGTCCTCTGATTCATAATCTCTCACAGGTTGCAATCAGGTGTTGCTCAGGGCACAGGGCAGTGATCTCATCTGAAGGCTGAACTGGGAAAGGATTCCCTTCCAAGCTCGCCTGGCTGCTAGCAGAATTTGATTCCTTAAGAGCTGTTGGACCTGAATTCCTTGCCAGCTACTGGCCAGAGGCCACCTTGAACTCCTTGCCATGTAAGCCTCTCCAACATAACAACTTGCATCATCAAAGCCAGCATCAGAGTCTGCTAACAGAGCAAAAGTCACAATTTCTTATAACCAAATTATGGAAGGGACATCCCATCACATTTGCTGCATTGTTAGAAGCAAATCACTAGGTTCAACCCATACACCAGGGTATAAATAGCAGTAGAGGGGATCATTAGCTGCCACATATCATCTATTTATGATATACTAGAGGTCTAGTGCATGAAATTTGTTCAGGAGTGGGGGGGAGAAGAGTTCCTCAGCCCAGTCTACGCCTTCTCACAGTCTAGAACCACTTGGGGGGGGGGGGGGGGTCTGCCTGACAGCTTAGGCACAATCCTTTTGGGGATAGGGCCTAAACCGGCAGTCAGACATCCCTCTCACAGTCCAGGCCTCTTGCAGTCCAGGACCCCTCTCTCTGTATCACCTGCCTACAGTGGAGGCAGGAGAGGCTCCCACCATCGCTGCTGTGCTCACCGGCTGTGAGCCCAGCTTCCAGAAGCCAGGTTTGCTGCTCCTTAGTGAGCCCGGCTTCTGGTTTACTAGCACCCCTCTGTGGGAGTGCACTGACCACCAGCTCCTGCATCTGATTCCCGACAGTCAATGCACAACATAGCGACCGACCGCTCATTCCTCCAGTCATTCCACCATTCAGTCAATTTGCAGAGTAGGGGTTTATTATATAGGATTAGGCATTGTTCTAAGCCTTCCTTATGAAGCTTCCATGGTGAAGAGAGGGTGAGAAATGAAAAAAAAATCACTGAAATGTATACTATGGTAGTTAATAACTACTGTTGAGAAAAAAGCAAGGAATGGTGGTATTATTATTATTACCCACTTGAAAGCAGGGAGATGTTATTTTAAATATGTACAGATCCAGAAAGGTCTCATGACCATCCCAATATATTGACTGATCCCAGTTGCTCCCCTATCCCTATTTCATCTACATGCCAACCTTGAGGATTCTAAGCAGGTGGAACAACATTAATGAAACAGAAAGGTGCCATGCATAGGCAGAAGAGCATAGTGGTTAGAAGTATAAATTCTGGGTTTATATGTTTATGTTTAATTCCTAGGAATGTGACTGTGGGCAAGTTGTGCAAATTTCTTCATCTATAAAAGGATAATATGCCCTGGTTGATGTGGCTCAGTTGGCTGAGAGTTGTCCCATGCACCGAAAGTTCACCAGTTCAATTCTCAGTCAGGGCATATGCCCACGTTGAAGGTTTGATCACTGATCGGGTGCATACAGGAGGCAGCTGATAGATGTTTCTCTCTCATTGATGTTTCTCTTCTCTCTCTCTCTCTCTCTCTCTCCCTTTCTCTCACTCTCCCTCCCTCTAAAAAAATTAACAAAAATATTTAAAGACAAAAAATAAAATTATAATAATGCTGCTTAGCTCTTAGGGTTCTTGTCATTTAATACTTGCTAGAGAACTTAGAACAGTTCCTGCACATTGATACTAAGATCCCATCAAGAAGAGAAAGCAGCTGAAACCGGTTTGGCTCAGTGGATAGAGAGTCGGCCTGCTGACTGAAGGGTCCCGGTTCAATTCCAGTCAATGGCATGTGCCTTAGTTGTGGGCACATCCCCAGTGGGGGATGTGCAGGAGGCAGCTGATCAATATTTCTCTCTCTTCTGACTCTCTATCCCTCTCCCTTCCTCTCTGCAAAAAATCAATAATATATAAAAATAAAAAAATTTAAAAATAAAAAAGAGAGAGAGAAAGCAAATTTAACAGAAGGGAAAAAAAAAAAAGGATACTAGAGAAAGAACTACCAATATCATTCCATTAAAGACTATGGATTCTGAGTTGTTAAAGGTGGGAAAAGCCCTGGCCAGTGAGATCAGTTGTTTGAGCTTGGATCCTGTGAAGTGAAGGGTCGTGAGTTTGGTTCCCTGTCAAGGACAGGTACCTGGGCTGGGGTTCAATTTCTGCCCCCAAGTGGGGTGGGGGTGGAAGGCAACAAAGAGCAATTAAAAAAAATATCCTCAGGTGAAGATTATTAACATCAACAACCACCAAAACGAAAAAAGAAAAAAAGTGGGAGGTGGGGAGGAAAGGATAAGCCTGAGTCTTTTTGAAAGTAGCTATAAGAAATCCTAAACAACAGAGGGTTTTATATATACATTTGGGAAAATTTAATCAACAATTAAATTATTCTTTACCAAAAGGGGCATTATGGATAAATGGCTACCACTTTTCATATATTTATTTCACTCTACCCAGTTCAAAACATCTCTACTTCTTCAGGAAGTTTTGAGGCCATGCTATTTCTCAAGTACCAATGAATCTGGACGTTTTACTTGTTTCCTCTAGTTTCCTTTTGTGGGAACAAAAACTAACGTGGCTTTACTTCCCCTAGTTATTTCACCTCTTTTGTTTCTGATTTCATTTATTTGGGATAAGGTCTCTTCAGAATATTTTCCTAAGGGATAAGAGAAGGGGCAAGCATTATTCTAAAATATAAAATAAGCACAGAGCATAAACTAAATAAAACTCTGACTCCCTTGGAATGTTAGCATCCAAGGAAAGGAGAAATAAGATAACAGCTCGAGGGTCACCAAGGTCAAAAGCTTTTTGTTTGATTTTTGTAGTGTGGAGAGAGACCTGAGCTTATTTGTGGGGCTGAGGAGAAGGATAAACTAAAGATGCATTAAAGAGGCAGTAATCACTAGGGAAAACACAAATAGGAGGTTTGAATTGCTTCGCTTCATTTTAGCTTTCTCTTTTGTAAAGCTTCCTAGCTGATGATGCTACAGGCAGGAGGCGTGAACCCACCGCCTCCCTGATGACTGAGCCAACTGAGCTGTGTCGCCTCTGTTCCCTTGATTTCTCACAGCTGCTTTGAGGAAGTTTCTCTGAACAGCTCGGCAATGCGGCAATGCGTGGCCCCTTAAGTGTCACGCACTTGGCTCACCGGCCTCCGGCACGTGCTAAGGCTTGCTCTTGCAGGCCTTCTTTGTGTTTAGCTATCCTTTTCCCCTGCAAGAGCTGATGCTTACAATCACACAGGTGTTAAGAATGGTAAGAGCAAAAGGGAGCCAGAGGAGGCTTGGTAACCTGAATATTATTAATGTTTCCAGAGTTGAAGAAAGTTCCAAACAACATCCCTCCAGATATTGTCAAGCTTGACTTGTCATACAATAAAATCAACCTGCTTCGGCCCAGGCAGTTTGAAGATGTTCATGAGCTAAAGAAATTAAACCTTAGCAGCAATGGCATCGAATTCATCGATCCTGGTAAGTTCCACAGACCAGCCCTTTTAACCGGCGACAGATGTTCTCTGTTTTTTAATCCCTGTGGCAACGTTTATAGTAAATACAATTTAGTTTTTTAGAAACTAAGTAATAAAATGTTTGACTTTAAATTAAATGTGGTTAGTTTAGAATGTGTATAATTAGAACTTGTTTAGTTAGATTAAAACTTGCTTAGCACTCAGAAAAATTTGCCAAAATGTTGTTTTATGAGGTATGTAATACTATATATTACTAAGCAACGATTATTTAATTGGTTCAAATAAGAGTGTTTTGTAGAATACGAAAAAAAATAAGAATATGTGGCTAGTGAAATTCTAAATGTGATTTTTAAAGGGAAATTCAGATTTGGCATTTTCTTTGCTATTCATTAAGTTCCAACTTGTTTAAAGTAGGACTTAAAAAAAAAAAAAAACTTGTTTAAAGTAAATTTGAAACAATCTGCTAAGCACTAAGGTTCATAAATTAAGATAAAATGTCCTCAAACCAGAGCCAGTCATATTTTATCTAATCCAGATCAAGATCAGTTCTTCCCATATTTAAAATCTCTTCTCTGTTTTCTATGCAAGCCTCTGGCAAAAACAGGAGTGGTAAATTACACAATGGATTTAGAAAGAACTGAGAATTGCTGCAATATTAGATTTGTAACAAACATAATCTACGTGCCCTCACAGTGCTATTTCAACTTAAAAAGTCTTATCTATCAGCCGAAACCGGTTTGGCTCAGTGGATAGAGCCTCGGCCTGCAGACTGAAAGGTCCCGGGTTCGATTCCAGTCAAGGGCATGTACCTTGGTTCCGGGCACATCCCCAGTAGGGGGTGTGCAGGAGGCAGCTGATTGATGTTTCTCTTTCATCGATGTTTCTAACTCTCTCTCCCTCTCCCTCTCTGTAAAAAAAATCAATAAAATATATTAAAATGACCTAAAGAAGTTTTCAAATAAAAGACCTTCTATATTTTGGGGCCTTTGAGATGACACCCTGCCAAAGTAGACTTATTTAACGACGTATGCTGGTAGATACACAAATGCAGTAAGATCTGCCTGCCGGTCTTTAGGAGGTGTGAATGACAATCTCATGAAATTCCAGATATTATTGCAAAAAGGGGGGGGAAAGAAGACACCCTAGTAGGGATTTTACCTCCCTTAAGAAACACATGCAAACTAGCTTTTCAACGTGCCTGGATTCAGATGGTTTAAGTAACAACTGTAGTGCTTTCAACACAAAATGTAGGAATGTTTACACATGCTTTCAATCTGAAGGGCTGACTTGTTTAAGGAAAGTAAATTGTTGAGATCATTGACTCACAAATGTTAGCAAATAGAAAAAAAATGCAGGATCTTCAGAACAAAGATTACAAGAGTTGACCTTTTGCTCCTTTCTACCGCCTATGCGCCCCACCCCACACCCCCAATGATTTGCTCTGCACCAAAGTAGAGTTGTTTTTGAGGGAGAGGATTGCGGGTTTTGTCTGAGAACAAAATGATATGTAAATGCTTGATGGTATTAGTATGAGGACATGTTTTCCAAATTCAAAATAAGAACACTTTATGCTCTACCAAGAGTATTTTAAAACAGCAATGAGAAAATGTTTGAAATCAAAGCAAAATATTTGAAATTAGGATTAAACTATAAATTTTAGGGTCAGTCCACATCAACTAAAATAGGGATAATCTAGGTTTAGATTTCTTTACTTTAAAAAAAAATAAAGTTTCTTGTCTTATTTTGTGCTATGTCTTTGATATTTATTGTAAATATCCACGCCCCCACCCCCAGCAGAATTAAATTACATGTGATTCAAAGCTGATAACTACCATAGTTTGCCAAAACACAACCAGATGTTTTCAAAATGCTGATAAAACTGTTTTGTTTTTAGACTCTACAGGACTAGCTAAAGGAATATAATCCCCGCCCTCTAAACTGGGAATAGGCTTGGGGGTGGGGGGTTACATTTTCAGAGTTTACTGATTTCCCGGGGAGCTTTCAAATCATCACCAGGCACAATTTCATGTTTTATGCATTTATTTCTTATATTTGAAATATTTTCCTAATTTATGCCAGTTTTGTGGCATCTTTCCAGTGAGCATAAAAATGCATGTGAGCCCAAAATACATCTTTTAGAAAGCTAACTTAAAACTGAGTTTAAGCGTATAAAATATTGTGTTCCAGTTAGCTTAATCAAGGGGAAAGCTCTTTTTGAGTAAAAATATATTTTAGCACTTCTCATTTAGATGCATGTACTGTTAGGGAAATACAATGAAAACCAAAATGCCCCTGTTCCATGCTTCCTTGTCTCTGGATCCACTCCGTTCATCTGTTTATTTTGCTCATTGGAAGGCAGGGGAGGGTGGGTGGCAGGTAATCAACCAAAGACCTTGTATGCATTTATACATAACCTATGGATGCAGACAATGGGGAGGGGAGGGCCTGGGGCAGAAGCGAGGGTGGGGCGGGGGGGTGGGGGGGGGCTGGAGGGGTTGATTGGGGAGAAAAGGGGACATATGTAATACTTTCAACTTATAATGATTAAAAATAAGTAAATAATTAAGGGGGGAAAAACACACACACAAAATGTTCTCCCAACACAGAAATCCTCTCCACAAAAATAGTAGAGAAAGAAAAAAAGCATTAAACCAGATGGTGATGCACATCACAGGCAATCTGCTAAGAAATTGTAAAGACAGAAAAGCTCTCACATTTCACGTGGCCAAACAGACACAATCCAATGCACGTGGCCAAACAGATACAATCCAATGCATGGTAAGTGATAGCTAGTCCTTGAGTAAGAGGACTTGACGGTAGCATTTGTCACACAGTCAATCCTAACCTTACCCGGTGATTGAGGTGAGCAACTGTGTTAGTGCACTGCCTTTATCAAGAGGAAAACAAACTTATATCTTTATGACGGGAGACGGTTTTGCAGCTTGGAACAAGGCTCCTACCCTCCCACAGAAACTGGGAGATCAGGGTGCTGCTATCTTTCTTGATTGCATTTCAAGAGAGGGTTCCCAGGTCCCTGAGAAAGACATTTCTGACTCATAAACCTGACAAAAGGCCTTAGTCTTCTAAAGGATATGTGTGCACTTCAAAGAGAGGAGAGAGTACTTAGAATGATAAGTTTTCTCAAGTATGTGCTCTGAGAAAAAAAAGGAGGGGATAAAACATTTTCAACAGTCTCTCATTTTTAACATATTTGCTCTTAGAAACAGCATACAATTGCATTGAACCCAATTCATTACTCACTGGTTTAATACACATTTTTCTGTTTCTAGCTACTTTTTTAGGACTCACTCATTTAGAAGAGTTAGATTTATCAAACAACAGTCTGCAAAACTTTGACTATGGTGTATTAGAAGACTTGTATTTTCTGAAACTCCTCTGGCTCAGAGACAACCCTTGGAGATGTGACTACAACATCCACTACCTCTACTACTGGCTGAAGCACCACTATAACGTCCACTACAATGGCCTGGAGTGCAAGACGCCTGAGGAATACAAGGGGTGGTCTGTGGGGAAATACGTTCGCAGTTACTATGAAGAATGTCCCAAAGACAAGTTACCGGCGTACCCTGAGACATTTGACCAGGATGCAGAAGAGGATGAATGGGAAAAAATACACAGGGAGCACACAGCAAAGAAGCAAAGTGTAAGAATCACGATAGTGGGGTAACTTACAAATTCTTCTAGTTGCCACCTGTCATGTATTTGCTATACTGGTGTTAAAAAACACACACACACATGTTTACATTTTGATTAACTATGTTGCCTATTTATGCAGGGTGATCCAACTAAAGAAAGGTTTCTTTAATTATTTTTATGATTTGAGTAATCAAGGAAATATTCTCCTTGATTATTTGCAGAAGGGCCTTTGGGGATGATTCCAAACTGGTAGCCTGCGGAAGATGGCTTCTTAATGACATTACAATTTCATAATGTCCTGTATAAATGTTTTTACTGCTTTTTAAAAATAATTTTTTTAATGTTCATTTTTACATGCCTTTTGATAGCTGTACGAACATGCCTAAACACGACCAAAATGAAAAGATACAAACGCTTGGTAATAATAAAATGTCTTCCTCTTCCCTCCGTCCTCACGTTGTCCCCACCCCGCCTGTTTTCAATAAGTCAGCTTATACATTGAATAAATTTCCATTTCTGATTGTTGTGCATTCCAAATTCTCAACTACTCTTCATTGATTCTTGGCAAAACTGTCAAGCTAGACCTGAAGGAGAATTGTCACAAGCAACAGCAGAGAACCTGAGAACTCTGTTGGAGGCTGGTCAGAAAATGAGGAGGAAATGTAGATGATTCATGTGAATCATGAGCCCTGAAGAGGTATAAATACAGCAAAGACAAATGGAACTGGTTTTCCAATAGCATTCAGGCTACAAGCCACCTGTTAAGGGGAAGGGGCTGAGCCCTTCCCGCTAACCTGATAGTTCAAGGAGCATCAAACAAAGGATGAAATTAGGATTCAGGGCAGGATTTGGGATAAAGCAGAAACAAAACAAAACAAAAAGAGGTATATCAAAGGAAATGAGAGTGGGCTGTTGCCTAAGAGGCCCTATCATTTGGGTTTGTGGGTTAAAATTAACTCAATGAGAGGGGGGGAAAAAAAGAAAAAAAGGGGGAAAGGGAGGCAATACCTGGAAACTAACTCCACCCCAAAGCAGTTTGAATTTTGACAGTAAGCTGTACTATTAGGAAGAAGAGTAAAATGAAAGAAATATGTGTGTATTGGGGGCAATGGTATATGTACAGAGATAATAATTTAATAAAAAAATTTAAAAAAGAAATATGTGCATATCCCTAAAAGTCCCACCTTCTCCTTTTTATACAGATTTCTTACTCACATGGAGTTGAATACATTTTTATTTCTCATCTCAAGATACTCCTAAAATGTTTATCAACTGGTCTTATTTGATACTTGCACAAATTCCCAAAACACAGGAAATGGTGCAGGACAAATAGTGATGAGCATTTCTTAAGTACCTGCTAGATGCCAGACACTGCATTAAGAGCTTCACACATTCTATTTCTAATTCATAGAAGAGTCCTTTGAGGTGGGTAATACTATCTGCCTTCTCCAACGAGAAACCCAAGGCTTAGGTAAGTTGGAAAGGGTCACAGTGCTGACAGGTGGCAGAGCTAGGATTCAGGCCCACCTAAGCCCTTTCTGCTGTACAGGGCTGCAGAGTGCGCTTTATTGTTGTTTTATTACAGTTGAAATCCAATATTATTTTGTATTAGTTTCAGGTGTACAGTAGAGTGGTCAGTCAGAAACTTCACAACGTGCTCACCTGATATTTTCAGTACCCACCTGGCACAGTGAATAGTTATTAGAATACCAGAGGCCCAGTGCATGAAAGTTTATGCACTGGTAGGGGGTGCCTCAGCCTGGCCTGTCCCCTCTCACAGTCGGGAGCCCTCAGGGGCGGGAAGTGACCAGGCGATCAGGGGAAGGGGCCACCTCCATCACACCTCTGCTGCTGCTACTGCCAACAGTGCAAGCCTCAGCCAGCCCTGAGCCTCAGCTAGCCCTGGGCAGCCCTTGGTGGCTGGGGGGCTGAGGTGACAGGGGGACTCCAGATGCAGGCCCATGGAACGGCTGGGCCTGCCTTGCCATGTGCCTGCTACCCCAGCAGGGCTGAGGGGACTGGCCACAACCATCTTGTGGCTGTGGGTGCTGCCATCTTTGAGGGCATGGCAGTCAATTAGCATATTCCCTCTTTATTGGCTGTGGGCACTGCCATATTTGCCATGGTGTGAAGGTCAATTAGCATATTCACTCTTTATTAAATAGGACTAGAAACCCAATGCACAAAATTCATGCAAGAGTAGGCCTTTCTTCCCCCAGCTGCCAGCACTGGCTTCCCTCCAGCACCCAGGACCTGGGCTTTCCTTGCAGCTCCGGCTTCATCCAGAAGGTCGTTGGTCTAATTAGTATATTATGCTTTTATTATTATAGATTATTGACTATATTCCTTATGCTGGGCTTTACTTTCCAATAATTATTTTGGAAAGTAAAATACAGTTAATAACCAATCTGTACTTCTTAATCAATTCACCTTTTCACTGAGTCCCTCAAACCCTCTCCCCTCTGGCAATCATCAGTCTATTCTCTGTATCTATGAATCTGTTTTTGTTTTGTTTGTTCTTTTATATTAATCTTTAGATTCCACAAATAAGTGAAATCGTCTGGCATTTGTCTTTCTCTCTCTTTATTTCACTTAGCACAATATCCTTTAGATCCATACACGTTGCCACAAATGGTAAGATTTCATTCTTTTTATGGCTGAGTAATTATTCCATTGTGTAAGGGGGCTAATGAGGTGAGGGAGGGGAATGCAGGAAAGGGGCTTCTATAATACTTTCAACAATAAAAATAAAAGATAATAAAAATAATTTGGTAGATCTATGTATTGGCATGAAAATATTTCTAAGAGACAAAGGAAAATATAAACTAATGTAGCCTCTTTCATGTTAAAAATTTTAACTGTCTTTTTAGTCACATATATGTAAATATATTTTTTTAAAACAGAAAGCATTAGATTGAGTATCTTTCAGTAAGTGTATGAGTTTGAGGGAAATTTTGCTTTTATTATATATTGTCAGAATTTTTTAAATGAGAATATGTTCTTCTGTCTTTTAGGAGATAAATTGATGATATATAGATAAACACATGCTAGATACTCAGAAAATGTGATCAATTAGAATATAGAAAGGATCAACTCCTAGGGTATACAATCCAGCAAGAGCTGACTACATTATAAGCTTTTTATATGTTTGTAATTGGCATTCTTATGGCCTAAGATTGAAAATGAAGTTTCCATTTTCTTTTTACCTTTCTTTACAATTGTTTAACTAAAATACAAGAAAGCAAAAACAGTTGTAATTAACATACTTACTGACAGATCTCAAAGTTTTTGCTTGGAGCGGACAACCTCGAAAATTCAAGCGCAGCACATTGAGACGCCACCTTTGCAGAGTGTACATAACATATTTATCCATGATCTCATTTTTTACTGAGGAAAAATCAATCTAAAAAGGATAAACAGAAGATATCAAGAAAGGGAAAGATCTTTGGCATGTAAAATTTTTAAATCTTTTTAAAGCATCGAGGACTAAAACGTTTTTTTATAACATCACTCCTTTGGTGGGGGGGAGGGGGAGTTGTTGTTGTTGATTTTCATGGTCATTCCTAGGTTTAATTACAAACAGATTCAAAATGTCCAGTCCAGGCCAGCAGCTGTGTGGGTTGGTGGCTTCACATCCACCCCAACCCAGATCAGTTATCTTGGAGTGGACTGGACACCTCCATTGTCTCAAGCGAGCCCCAAGGCTGCCTTCCCCCACTTCAATGTCAATGCAGTCTGGGATGATATTTCTGCCTTTTGTTTTATGAGCACAGGCTGTATGTTGATTCCTTGACCATGGGAAAGACAATTTAGAGTGTGCCGTTATAATGACCTTTTCGTAAGTCATAATTTGGACGTTATTCTAGAGCACATGTGTCAAACACAAGGCCCGCGGGCCAAATCCGTCCCGCCAGGCCTTGCAATGTGGCCCGCACCGCGCTGTCATCACTGCACTCCGCTGCGTTTCCATCACAATGACAGTTTATGACTGTTCAGTAAACCATTCGGCCTGCGATTTAGGCTGGATTTTAGATTTTGGCCCCTTCTCTGATTGAGTTCGACACCCCTATTCTAGAGAAAAGAAAGGATCACTGGAATGGACGGGGCTGACTGTAGGTAAAATTGAAGAGCAAAGAGGTTTATGTGAGTTCTGAGTGGCCAGGGCTAGTTGATAAACAATGACATTAATACCACAGTATTAGTAGTATTTTTCAGTTGAAAAGGTAAGTTTATGAACATACAAATTTTTGCTTTCTCAACAAAGCAATTCTTAATGCTAAAATGCTTGTTATAGTTGTACCATGTTTGAGAAAAAAAAAATAATTGAAGATGAAGGGCAACATAGAATTGTGGAAAGAGAAATTTGCTGAATATAATGAAACTTAACTTCCTATCCTGGCTTTGTTATTCAAGGCCATATGCTCATATAGTCTCCATCTTTACCCAGTGAGGGCTCTGAGCAGAAGTGCTAGCTTTTTCTTCCAGGCTTCAGAAGTATTTGTCTTCATCTTAATATTGTACACATTATTTCTCTTTCAGACCATTTGAATTAATTTTTTTCTTCTTTAAGGGTTTCTCAAAGGAAAAAAGTAACCCCCAATCTGGCATTAAGTAAGATATATATATAATTTATATATATAATTTATATATATAATTTATATATATATAATTTTTCAGACAGGGAGAGAGAGATAGAAACCTCAATGACAATGATGAGAGAGAATCATTGATTGGCTGCCTCCTGCTCACCCCTACTGGGGATCATATGTCCTGAGCAGGAATAGAACCATGAGATACCTCCTGATTCATAGGTTGATGCTCAAACACTGAGCCACACGGGCTGGAGGAGATTTCTTATTTAAACCCCACTTGACTTTGATCCTCAGAGTGTGGTTCTAGGACCAGCAGAATCAGCAGCATCCAGGAACCTGTTGGAAATGAAAATTGTCAAGCCCCACTCCAGACCTACTGAGACTCTGTGGGTGGCCATGGGCAATTCGTTTTAACAATCCCTTCAGATGATCCTGATGCATGCCAAAGTCTGAGAGTAACTGCCTTAAACTGAAAATAAATTTAAGACAGGAATACTCAACTTG